AGCAGGTTGGTGGCGGGCGAGCGAGCGAGCAGCTGGCTCAGTGGCGCAGGGCAGCGGGCAGCCCAGCGGGGGGCTCTGGCTGCTCAGGCATGGCCGGCTCTGCTTCCCTCCTCCATCTGGACCGACTGCCTGCCTGCCTTCCTCCCCGGCCAGCGCGCGTCACTCACTCAACAGCGGCGGCTCCTTCCTGGCCCAAATGAAGTGCACCTGGCATACAAGACGACCCCCCCCCACTTGGAGACGTGTTTTTTGGGCCAAAAAAGTCATCTTGTACGCCGGCAAATACGGTATAATGTACGTTTTTTGACAAGTTCTCTGGGATTCATTGCTTTCCTAGAAAACATCCTCTGTTCATGCATGGATGTCTAACTTATCGTTAGGCATTATGATCAAGCTTCTGTTTGTAATCATTAAATTACTGTGGTTGATTCAACCAAATGATTAATCATACATGTGTGTGAACTGGTCCTCAATCTGACTGCAGGAGTGTATGGAGCTGGGTAGCTTTTATTTTAGATTTCAGTTTCAGAAGGAAGCTGCAACTCCTGCTCTCTTTTTTTTTCAAACTGAAATGCACCCAATGTGCCTCACACAAGATGATAATGCATATATTTCTGTATTAAGAACAAGGCTAGGGAAATAATTTACATTATTTCCTGCCTTATAAGTTTTTTAATGAAACAGCAAATTCAGGAAGGGGTGGATGGAACACTAAAGTCTACACGGACTTAAGTTTCTGTAATGCAAAAGTTTCAGATAGACATTTTAATTTCAAGTCATTTGTCCTTTTTCCCCAAAGATGCAAGTAAACCCTGAGTGGGCATCTTTTGGCAAAGAAAGGCCAATATCACACATACCTGGGAGTGATTTAAAACCAGGTTTTGCAGCAAGCATCCATATATTTCCTTTAGTCCTCTCTCTGCACCTAGACATGTAACCCTTTGTTGTTTCTTAAAGAACATTTGACCTGAATACTACATGGAAGAGAGCCAAGTGGGTTGAACATGTTGCTAAGACTCAGGTGACCTGACTAAAAATCACTGCTTGGCCATTGAAACTCACTGAATACATGTGACTGTAAATCACTCTTTTAACATCTCGCATACTTTAACAACAATGCTATTAAGAACAAGGCTCCTTAACAGGAGTGACTTGATGGCACAACACAACACTCCTTTATAATAACCAAGTAACCTGTGACTCCCTGGTCATATTTGCAGAAATAAGTCATTGTCATTCCCTGACATGACAACATCATCAATGCTGGTGCTGATTTCCCTGCTCCTGCCACCAACTCCACTGTCACCTCTTCAAAACTGAGGAGGAAACATGCTGCGGGAGGTTAAAGGTAGGAAGAAGAGAAGGCAAAGGACTTCAAAGATGGACCAGGCAGCAGAAGGCATTGCACAACCCAATGAAGGGGAAAACCGTCACACAGAGAGGATTCCCCTCAGAAACCGGCACAAAACTTTACTTATGCCTGCTGCAGGAGAGGCAGGCTGTTTGTTTTCGTGTCCCCCTCCTGGGGGGTTATGGTGTGGGGTTTTTTTCCCCTCTGTTTTCCTTCCCCTTTTTAAGGTTCGCTCAAAGTGACACATCATAGTCAAAATCCCTTTCTTCTGGAAGTAGCAGCAATTATATCTTTACACTGGTATTTTTGTTGTTGTAAAAAAATATTCCCCCCCCCTTTCACGGATTGCTGCCTTGTCATGGCAAAAGGGCTTGAGTAATTCAGAGAAGCTATGAGCTATGCCATGCAGGGACACCCCAGACGGACAGGTCATAGTGGAGAGTTCTGAATAAATGCCCTCATTTCACACGCTAGCAAGGTTATGCTCCAAATCCTCAAAGGCAGGCTTCAGCAGTATGTGGACCGAAACCTCCCAGAAGTACAAGCTGGATTTCAAAGGGGCAGAGGAAATAGAGACCAAATTGCTAACATGCGCTGGATTATGCAGAAAATCAGAGAGTTCCAGAAAAACATCTAATTCTGCTTCATTGACTATGCAAAAGACTTTGACTGTGTGGACCACAGCAAACGATGGCAAGTCCTTAAAGAAATGGGAGTGCCTGACCACCTTATCCATCTCCTGAGAAATCTACACGTAGTACAGGAAGCAACAGTTAGAACTGGATATGGAACAACTGATTGGTTCAAAATTGGGAAAGGAGGATGACAAGGCTGTATATTGTCCCCCTGCTTATTTAACTTATATGCAGAATACATCATGCGAAAGGCCGGACTGGAGGAATTCCAAGCTGGAATTAAGATTGACGAAAGAGATATCAACAACTTCAAATATGCAGATGAAACCACTCTGATGGCAGAAAGTGAGGAGGAATTAAAGAACCTCTTAATGAGGGTGAAAGAGGAGAGCACCAAAAATGGTCTGAAGCTCAACATCAAAAAAACTAAGATCATGGCCACTGATCCCATTGTAGCGGAACCCCCACATCACACCTGTCCATCGGGGGGGGGACTCAAGGGCAGGAGCCTATGAGAGGACAGGAGGGGCGAAACCAAAAGGACAGTTAGACAGTTAGTTTGACAGTTAGAGAGGAGAGTTGGAGAAAAGAGGTTTGAGATAAGGAATTGAAGAGAGAGAGGTAGGAGACTGATTTGAGAAAGATGACAAAGATTGGAAAGTTGGAAGGCTAGAAATAATAGGAAAGAGTTCAAATGCATAGTGAATAAATAGATAGTCAGAGAATTTTGTAACAGTGAAGAAATACACATACAAACTAATGTAAAAGCAAATGAAATTAAAAGAACAATTCTAAACATCTGTGATTGACTCCTGTGACTTGCATAACATCTATATTATCAAATCTGTTGTATTGGCAGCACATGTCTAAGATCATTCTATATATTTGGTATTAAGGGAATAATACCTGGTGGCAGCGTGAAAAGAGGAAACGCATCCAGAGGGTGGACTTGTGTTTAGAGGGAAAATAAACAAAGGACACTGGGTGGACGTGACACCCATCACCTCCTGGAAAATAGAAGGAGAAGATATGGAAAAGACCCTGATGTTGGGAAAGTGTGAGGGCAAGGGGAGAAGGGGATGAAAGAGGGTGAGATGGTTAGACAGTTTCATTGAAGCTACCAACATGAATTTGACCCAACTCTGGGAGGCAGTAGAAGACAGGAGGGCCTGGCGTGCTCTGGTCCATAGGGTCACGAAGAGTCAGACACGACTAAACGACTAAACAACAACAACAAAAATAACACTGATCACTATTTTTCAGAAAGTAGAGGTGTCTTTCTCCCCCAAACAGCCTGTTTCTCATGCATACACATACATGCTAACTTTAATATCCTGCTCTGAAAGGTCAAGGAAGAAATTATTTGACAAAGGGCTACAACGCTTCTAAGGTGACCAACAACCCCCCATAAAACACTTCACAAGCCTCTTGGAGGGGAGGGTCAACGCTGTTCTAGTCATTCACACAGCTTTTGTCCCAAGCAAATAATAGAATGAGATATTGTTAACTGATGAAAAAAGGAATGAAGTTCTAGGATTTTCTCTTGCTAATTGATTGTTCGTGAATACTATTAAGCACAAGAGGGAATCATGTAGACCAGCCATTCACAAACATTTTGTGGCCATAAAAACAATATGGAAGAAATATAGGCCAAATCAAGATTGTATAAGTTGCATAGCGAACCTTATATGGTAAGTGTGTGAAGAATTGTTTCCAATCAGTGGTCCCTTTCAAATGTGCCAGGGCCCCCCAGGGGGGACATATGGTCCCCATTTAGAATGGCTGGTGTAGACCATCTCCACAGTTGACATGTGTCCTTTCTCCAGTTGGCAACAAAGGCATGACACTACAAGGCAAGGTATGAATATTTCCTGGATTTTGTAATCATGATCACAGAAGCAATATTCCACATTTATAAACCAAAGACTTTTTGAAGGATTTCATTATGTTGAGATAATAGCAATCTTGCATGCAGTAACACTGAGTATCAATGGGAGAGTGGTTTGTAGTCTAATGTGGCTGTCCTTTGCCACTAACTTGATTGGTAAAGTACTTTTCCTGCCTCTGGCATTTGAGGCAAACCCCCATCCCATCTTTCTCTTTGTTTGCATGCTTCCATTGTTTTTCCAATAGCCTTCTTCCACTAACCTCCAATCAATCAAGCACAGAGGGTCTCTTCCACATGGTGGAGACTCCATTTGATTTTTTTTTCTTGGACTGTAACTACAAATGGTAGCTATAAGTAAAGATACCTTTTTTCTACTTTAATACCTATAAAGTGATTTTATCATGCAAAGTGCTAGTTTATGTGGAAAAGAAACCAAGCGGGAGAGGGATGGTGGATGGATGAGACTGAGCTCATTTCTCATTCTCTCCTCATTTCTGAGTTGTTGTTTTCTACCTCATACTCTGCTACTATACTAACTAAAAGGAATAACCAAAAATTCTCCAGTAAATTATAAGCTGATAAAGATCAACTCAGTGGGTTCCATTTTCAAACTCTCCTTGGGAGCATGGCTATGTTGGACTCTCATGCACTTAAAGTGAGTACATGTACTTCAGAATTTACCACTTCACCAATGCAAATAAATTTGCTTGATCTCATAGTACATTTAAAATGAACACTGGCTTCCCATTTGAACACTAGTTTTACAATCCAATTTAGACTGAGAAATCACTGAGATAATCTCTTAGATTTTTGCTTTAATTATATCATGTTTTTAGCAGGTTCACATGAGCCACTAATAAAGGCCTGCTTCTATGTATATTTTTTAAAAGATGTGTTTAGTAGTATGCAGTTTGGCCCTAATCCTTTCTACAGACACATTATAAAATAGAGTGTTAGCAATCTCTTACAATGTTCTCAAGTTGTCCAGATAAGTACATTGCTAATGCACTCAACTAAGTGATCATTATCACTGAATTCAATTAGGCAAGCAGTTACCTGTGAGGCATGCCCAATATAACATGCTCAATTCCCATTTCACTAGATTTATCAATGATGGTTTTAAGAGCAGGGATCATTACTTCACATCCTTCCAAGCCAAAACGTTTCTCTGATGACCATTTCCGGGCAAGAAAATCCTCAAATCTGTTTATGAACAAAGACTGCATTAGTTAACATTTCTCCTTTGACTTAGCAGCTACTATCCCTGGAATTCTAGCAGACATGGTCCAGGACTGGCATAGGCCAAATCAAAGCATGTAGTTATATTGGTTTTCACTGAGATGTTTTCTACACAGATACAGCAAGACAATGGAAATACGTAGCAGCAACTTTTATTGTAATACACCTTGTCGGCTGAACTTGAGACTGAGTTACAGTGACATATCTTTGTTTCTTTTAAGCAGTTATATATCGTCCAGAGGCACAGTCTCTCCTTGTACTACTTCCAGCACTTCAAAGTGACATCCAGAAACCAAGTCGAAGGACTAACAACTATTTTTAGAATCTAGGTTCCTTGTTATGCTAGGAAGGAGCACATACTAGGCAGTAAGTTATAAAACAAAAACCTCTTTCATTGATAAACATCCTTCAATGTCCAGGTAAGGAAGGTATTTGATGTGCTGGTCCCAAATTCCTCAAAGAATAAACTCAGTGCAAATATAACTAACCATTCTGCAAATCAGGAAGCAGAATATTATAGCTCTCTAAACCCATTCCTGTAGAAATCTTCTCCCTCAACATCTAACCTGGTTAAGGGAAACATCAGCAGTTATATTAAGCTAAGGCCAGCTGGAATTCTTCCTAAACCATGATTTGACACTGCAGCTAAAGTGGTTTCAAACCTGGATTAAGAGATTTATGTACTCTCCTTTACAATCCTCATGTCCCTTTAAAATAGGAGTGATCCATCTCACAGGAGACAAGGGGCAATTCTGAGTTTGGCCGGTAGCTCAGGCGCCACAAACTTCTTCTTCTTTAAAAAAAAAAGCTGCTAAAATCAGCATTATTTGCTTCCAAAAATAGGTGGCACAGCTTGCCAGCTACTTTCCTAGCTTTGCAGCAGCTATTTTATATTTATTTAAATTTACATTATTTATGGGTAAACACTAAGTACTGCTTTTATTAGAACTGAACAAGAAAGTCTTAATTGCATATCCTATACCAACTCTTTCTTATTTCCTCTTGTATGACTCAACAGTTAGGGGCTGCTTAGGCATCCAAAAAATCTCCTTTCTGTAGCTCTCTGATGTTTAAACAGTTCCTAACCACTAAGTCCTATATAGGAACTAACATGCAATTGCCAATGAACATATTAAAGAAAACTGATAAAGACTTTCAATTGAAGGTTTTCTTGTTCAGTCAAGGCAAATAATGTATAAACCAACAAACCTGGCCACTCGTCTTTGGTGGCTTTTGAAGCGGTGGGATGGGAAGGTCTTAGGGGGCACAAAAATGGTGTGAGGTCTGCACGTAACTCACAGAAAACAAGATGTGGACTCCTATTTATTTATTTATTTATTTATTTATTTGATTTTTACCCTGCCCCTCTAGACCATGTCTACTCGGGGCGGCTTACAAAATAAAACAAAACAGTATAAAAATATATAAAATCATAAAATTACAACTACAATTACAATTTAAAACAATTAATTTAAAGAGAGAATTACCAGGATGGAATAGCAAAGAAAAAAAAAGAGAAAGACTTAATTGACTGGAGGGAAAACAAGCAAAAATACTGCTTCTCTCCTTGATAGTTGACACATTTTTTCTTTCTTCCTTTGTCCTTTACTTTTGCAGACTTGCAAAATTTCAAATATTAACCTCAGAATATGCAAGTTAAGTGATTTATGAAAGACATGGGCGATGTGCATGATCTGAATTTTAAAAACCCAAGTCTCTCTAGTCAAATAAAAAACTGATTTGGCTTTTTGGCATAAAGATTGGGGCCTGACAACATCTACGGTGCCAAAACAGGAGAGACTGCAAAATGCCACACACACATACAAAGTGAACTTCACCTAATTCAACCACTTGGCATTTTTAGTATTTGAACTGGATATTAACAGACTTCTTCCTGTTTTTTTAAACACAAGCAGCAGTACACGCTGGGCTTCATTTTGCTTTGTTTACATCAGAAAGATAAATGAGAAAAGAATCTCTGTGACACATTGTTAACAACCTGTCATTCAAATGCCATGTTAACCCGATTATAAAAAGTATCTTCCTCAAATTCATTTCTCTTTTAATTAAACACGGGCAGAAACGATCTACTACTGTCTCACTAAATAAACACTGCCATGGAAAGCAAATGTTATCCTTTAGTAATAGTGTAAAGTCACCAGCCAAGTGTTCTACAGCAGAAAAATTATAATTGTTATATTAATTAATGCTATATTCATTATATTAATGAATTAACCATATATGGCCATATTGTTCACTAGCTTTTTACTTCTTGGCTCTTTCAAGGAGGGAAACCAAAATAAATGGCATGATTTCTTTCCTTTCTTTTTATTCTGTCTGCCCCAGGCCCTGCACTAAAATCACTGCCTAAAATCCTATTACTTAGTGTGATCCCACAGGCCTTCCACAAGTAAGAGGGCATCAAATGGTCTTTGGGAATGTGACATTAGCAATGGTTGACCAGGGTGCTTTCAGTTTAATCCTTTACTGAGGACAATTGTATATAGGTTTGCAATCCCTCCAGCTAAGATTCCTGCCTAAACTTTTGTTCACTCTTCCTGTGTTGTCCACAGTCCACACTTGGGCACCTCTCTCTTGCCCAGTTCAAACAGTTCTTTCTGGGGTACCTTTGGGTATCCAATCTTAGTAATCTTGATGTTTTGCCCACTGGGCCTACTGCTTCAATGTCACCACCTTTTCTGAGTCAGGGTAGTGATTCTCCCTCTGCTCCAAGACTGCTAGGAGTCCAGCATGGTCTTCAGGGCCCAGTACCAGAGTAAGATAGCAAACACACCATCTGTTGCCCATAAAGCATCTGACCAGCCTTACCCAGCCCCTTTTCACTGCTATCAAGCTCTTCTTCCTCCTCCCAGGTGGTCTTCTCCTTATATAGCCCATGCCACACCTCGCCTGGCTCTTGCCTCTTACCCAACATCCCCACACGCTGGTCCTGCACTCTCCCCAGCCCTTTTATATGCCTTTTATACAGAATGGATCTCTCTTCTGGGCCCAGAGTCTGTGATGCCTTCCAGCAACTGCTTCAAGTTGTCTCCCCACTGGAGAGGATGGCAGCTTAGTCAGGCCTTTCTTCAATTATCCACATTATGTATCCATATTGGGGCACAGTGAGGCAGAGGTGTGAGGTGCAGAGGAAGACCTGAACCAGGCAGCTCTGCTACTGTACGCATTATTAGCACAATCCAACTGGTGTACACCTTGGCAGCAAACTGCCATATGTTGAGAACTTGCAGAGCTCAGTATGCAACAGCAAATACCTATGCCACCAACAGTTATATCAGTTGCATTACACCAGTATAAAAACTGAATAAAATGTTGGCCACTGTCTTACTGTCCTTGAGAATCAGGTAGAACGCTGTTTCTTTTTAACTTAATGAAATTCCTTATGATAAAACTTCAGATTTGCTCTGCTAGACAAAGTGGGCAAGAAATGCATAACATTCTTTTCAAGCATACCTTGTTGATCGCACCAGTCTAGCCAACAATGTCCTTTTTTCCTCACTGCTGAATTTCATGACACCTGGTGTCTCAAACTTCTGCCGGATCCAATCACATTGCTCCACATCATTTATAAACATAAATTCCAGTCCAATGTGTTGACAATATGTATTCTGAGTGGGAAAATGATAACTTTAGAGTAATTAAAAAAGGGTGCAGAATAAATTATAAAATAAGTATAGTTTATCATCTGCTTTATGCTTAAAAGATAATATTCATCTCCACCCACCACACCAAGCAACTAGCTCCTCCTAAATTCTAACACAAATGCTTCACTTCATTAGTGCTAAGCTGGAGCGGGCTGCAATGTTGAACACTGCTCCTCCTCATCTTCCATTTTCCTATTAAAATCTCCTCCAAGTTGGTTTACAAACTGTTTTTTTAAAGAAAGTTAGGTTACCTACCTGTAACCATGGTTCTTCTAGTGGTCCTCTGTGAATTCACACAAATGGATTTAGAAAAAAGAAACAATTAAGCTTTCCCTGAAAAGGGTATATAGGCTCCGCCTCCTCCAGCTTCCTTTCAGTTCCTTAGTCTGTCGCTACCGTATGGAATAGATATCATAGAACGGTATCGTGACAAACAGCAGGGAGGAAGGGAGGGATGTGCGAATTTACAGAGCACCACTAGAAGAACCATAGTTACAGGTAGGTAACCTAACTTTCTTCGTAGTGGTCTCTGTGAATGCACACAAATGGGTGACTAGCAAGCAGTACTCACCGGATGGAGGGCCATCACAATAGGAGAGATGACAGGATAGCCCTTCCAAACGCAGTGTCATTCTTGGCCCTGACATCGAGGCGGTAGTGCTTCGCAAACATCAGGGGATTTGACCAAGTAGCTGCTTTGCAGATGTCTTGTATATGGACACCTCTATGTAGAGTGGTCGAAGTGGAGACTGCTCGAGTAGAATGGGCCCTCAAGCGTTCTGGTATTGGCTGGCCCGCGAGTTGGTATGCCAGCTGCATCACTTGTATGATCCACCTTGTTATAGTCTGTGGAGAGGCAGGGTTGCCCCTATTAGGCCCATGGTAGCAGAGGAAAAGACGAGGAGAACTCCTGAAGTGCCTCATCCTGTTGAGATAAAAGGCAAGAGCACTCCTGACATCTAAGATATGGAGCTTTCGTTCAAGCTGTGTGGAGGGAGACAGGAACAGCGTCGGTAACATGACGGGCTGATTCAGATGAAACTCCAACACTACGTTGGGAAGGAAAGACACGTCTGGGTAAAGCGTGACTTTATCAGAATGGACTTGAAGGTATGGAGGATCCAATCAGAATGTCGAAAGTTCCACAAGAAAGGCAGTTTTGAGGGAAAGCAATTTCTCATTGCAAGTTGCCATCGGTTCAAATGGTGCTTTGGCAAGTGCTTCAAGGACCAGCCGAAGCGAACACTGTGGCATAGGTTGGTGGGAAGGCAGCCTGATATTTTGCAAACCCTTGAGGAACTTCTTGAGAGAAGAGTTTGGCGAAGGCAGACTGGAGAGGTTGGTGGGCCACTATGGCTGAGACGTACACTTTAATGGTTGAGTGAGCAAGTCCCAGGTTAAAGAGATGCAACACGAAGGTAAGTACAGTCAAGAGGGAGGTCAGTACAGTACTGTGGTGAGTCCTCTATCAGAGGCAAACCGCACAAATGACTTCCACTTATTACTGTATAGGCGACAAGCGGACGGTTTCCTGGCCTGGTCTAAGACTGCACAGAAATATGGGTTATTCTCCACGCCGTCAGGTGAAAAGACCAGACAGCTGGATGTAGCAGGGTCCCTTCGTGTTGCGAGAGGAGTGTTGGTATTGGAGGTTAGTGGAATATTTCTTCTGATATTTCTTTCAGGTGTGCAAACCACTGTTGTCGTGGCCACCAAGGGGTGATCACAATCGCGTCTGTTTGGTATTATATGAGCCTTGCTACCGTCTTGAACATCATCGGTATTGGGGGACACAGGTAGGCTAGTTCCCCAGTCCACAGTATTAGGAATGCATCCCCTAGGGATGGGGCATCTCTGCCTGCCCTGGAGCAGTACCTTGGGCATTTGGTGTTGGTCCTGGACACAAATAGGTCTATGGTGGGCTGACCCCACCGGCGACAGATATCTCAGAACACCGAATCGTTGAGTGACCATTCGTACATTTCGGAGGAAAGCCTGCTGATATGGATCACATATGGGAAGATACAGCAGGCATGGCACCAATCCCATTGTTGCACTGACAGATGCAAGAGGGGTTGGGATTGTGTCCCCCCTTGCCTGTTCACGTAGTGCATAGTGGTGGTATTGTCCATAACCAGTTGCACTGCTCTCCCTTGGATGCTTGGGAGGAACGCTTGAAAAGCGTTGATGACGGCTAGCATTTCCAGTTGGTTTATGTGTCACTTCCTTTGCAACTTTGTCCACAGTCTGTGGATTCACAGCCCTTGGCAGTGGGCGCCCCACCCTGAGGGGCTGGCGTCTGTCGTTACCTGTATAGACAGGTACAGGGTTTGGAACGGTCTGCCTGTAGACAGGTTGTGAGCAGCGTACCACCATTGGAGACTGTCCAGAATGCATGAGGGGATGCGTAGTAGCTTCATAGGGGAGTCTGTAAAGGGGCTGAATTGATGAAGGAACCATGACTGGAGGGGCCTGAGCTTGAGTCTGGCATGGAGGACCACCGATGTTGTAGATGCCTTTAGTCCCAGTAAACACTGGATATCCAGTGCTGTTACATGCCTGATGGCCTTGATTCGACGTATTGTCGATTGCAGTTTGGCAGTTCTCTGGGTGGGGAGGAACGCCCGTGCTCAGTTGGAGTCGAGTCTCGCCCCGATGTAATTGACGACCTGCGAAGGTACTAGGTGTGGTTTTTGTTGATTGATTTGGAGGCTGAGTCTGTTTAAAGTATCGAGGGCAGTATTGGTGGCTGCGATGGCTTCCTGGTAAGATTTTGCGACCAGTAGCCAGTTGTCGATGTAAGGGAAGATCTTCACTCCCTTGGTGTGCAGATAGGCCACCACCGGTGCCATACATTTTGTGAATGTCCTGGGGGCCGTTGATAGCCCGAAGGGAAGGGCGACAAACTTGTAGGTGGTGTAATGGAACCTGAACCGAAGGAATTTGCAGTGAGATGGATGAATGGAGACATGGAAATAAGCGTCTTTTAAGTCGATGGTGATGAACCAGTTTCCCTGTGACTAGAGAGGGAGAATGGAGTAGAGAGTTAACATACAGAATTTTCTGTATGACATGTATTGGTTAAGTTCTCTCAGGTCCATGATGGGGTGGATAGCTCCATCCTTCTTGGGGACCACAAAGTACCGGGAGAAGAAACCCCCCTGTGAGTCAGTAGGTGGCACTGACTATTGCGCCTTTGGAGAGAAGTGACAGTATCTCCTGGTGTAGTTGGGCTGAGAATGGGGTAGCCATGATGGAATTCGGCAGAGGAGTTTCAGAAAATTCTATCAGATAGCCCCTCTCGATGATGGATTGGACCCATTTATCTGTTGTAATTCTGGACCATTCTGGGAGGAATGGGGACAGCCTGATGAGGTTTGGAGAGCAATCAGGAGTATTGCTTACATCTACGGAGAGGCTTGTGAAAGGACTGTTTTGGTCCTTGGTACTTTTGTTTGGGCAGTTAGAGGTTTGACTGCGATGGTTGGAAGGAACGGTCCTGCTGCTTATTATATTGAAAGGGTTGGTACTGTGGAGACAATTGATATTGCGCCTTTTTGTAAGTCGGCTTCTGGTATCAGTACGGTTGGTAAGGTACGTAGGACCTGGCTGTCTTTCTCATTTTATGAATATTTTCCATGATATCATCAGTTTTGGAGTTGAAGAGGCCTGTCACATCAAATGGCAGGTCTTCGATCTTTGTCTTGGTGTCATCCAAGATGTTGGCGGCCCTACGTCAGGTTTGATGCCTGAGGGCTACCGTCATCAGCATAGATCTGGAGGCAGTGTCAGCTGTGTGCTTCACCGCCACCCTCTGTTGTCTGATGAGGGTGTTCGCCTCCTTGTAGATATTGAGCACTTCAGCTTTCGAAGTATCGGGAAGTGACTGCAGTACAGGAAGGATCTTGTCCCAGAGGTGCTTCTGGTAAGCACCCATTGCTGCTTGGTAATTTGCGATTTTGATCAGCAGTGCTGCCAAGAGATAAAGTTTTTTTATCGAGAGAATCAGTCTTTTTCCCTTCTTTGTTCACCAGGGTGATCGTCTATCTACTACGAGACTTATACTGTATGGCCTCAACAATGATGGAATTAGGCATCAGGTGCTTGGAGAGGAACTCTGAGTCTGCTCCATGAGTCTTATAGTGATGTTCAATTTTACGCGGGACTTGGAGAGTCGAAGGAGACTTGTCCCAGGAAGTCTTGACCAGATCGAAAAACGCTGGTATGAGGCTCAGGCTGGGTGGAGAGGACTTGTCCTGCTCCATATCGTGGAAAATAAAGTATTTTTCCTGTTGTGGTATCTCTGCATCAAGGAGTAGCATCTTTGCCATCCTTATGATAAGTTGTGCATAGGAGGTAAGGTCCTCCATAGGGACCTGAAATGGAATCCCTGCAATGCCTTCATCCACAGCATCAGAGTCGGTGGAAATCGAAGCGCCACCATCATGAAATGACTCAGAGGCAAGAAAAGGGGAACGATGTGGCGATACGTCTCGCAGTGCTGGCTCAACATCTGACTGGGTCGACTGAGAGAAGGGTTCTGTATCGTGCCCTTCAGGGCCGGAGTACAGTGTAGTGGACTGTACCGTGGGACGGCCTCAGCTGTGTTTAGTGCACTTCAAGGCAGGCTCTGAGGGTGACGGTCTCTTGCAAGAAGGAGGGGCTAGGGCTGTAGCTAGGTCCCCTTGGTGTCTCAGGTGAGCATCCAGTGGCATAGGCGTGGATGGGTACCATGGCGGTTGCGGGCAAGCCGATCCGCTGTAGTCGCCGGGGTATCTGTATCCATGGTATGGATAAGGTTGGTATGGAATGAAGAACGGGTGACCGCATGGTTGACCCTGAGGATGGTACCGTCCTTCAATATGCTGATGTTGGTAAACGGAGACATGCTTGCATTTCTCCGTACGTTTTTTAGGAGTGTTCTGGTTGAGTCTCCGTATCTGCCCACCCTGAGGATCGAGGGCTGAGAGGGGCAATGGCCAGGCTGGACGATTCGACAGCCCCAGAATGGCCTGAGCTTGGAGACATGTTCATGATATCTTGAGACTTTTGGGCTGGAGGGAATGCCTGTTCCTCCACGTCTGAAAGCCCAACACCCTCTACTGAAGAGTCCTCAAACAGTATGGGGATTGCTGGGAGAGACAAGGGGGTGGCTGATGACGTCTTCTTAAGCTTCTTAGCCTAATCTTTGTCTTTCTTCATTTTAGCAGAAATGATGGGTTGTGATGGAGCCTTGGTAATAACAGGCTTTGATGGCTTAACTGAGTCCTTTGGCTTGGCCAACGGAGGAGCCAAGGTAGGTGGTGGTTGCTCAACCATGCTGGGAGCAGATTTAGGAGTCTCCGATTGCAGAGTCGATGCAGGGAGAGCAGTGGCTTCCACAGTGAGAGTCTTTTCATAGAGAAAGGAGCAAAGCCGCTGAAGCCAGAGTTAAACAGCCTGTTTAGAGAGGCTCCTGCATGACTGGGCGCGGTGGGATTCCCCCAGGCAGAACAAACACTGATCATGCCCGTCTGTAAGAGGTATTTTTCTCAAACCAACAGTGCACTGTTTGAAGCCCTGAGGGGCCATATGAGAAAAAGAAGAGACAGAAGGAAAAATGGCAGGGAATTCGTTGCGGAGCGGGGGGGAAAGGCGGGGAAAAGCGTAGGAGATGGGGTAAAGGCACTACACCTGCTCTAACTTTTAACAAACAAAACAAAGTATAATAAAACAAAGAATAAAAGTGGAAAAAGGAGCCCAAAGGGCTAAAACCTTCCTGAAGTTCCAAACGTCCCAACGGTACAGCAGAAAAAGAGGAACTGAAAGGAAGCTGGAGGAGGCGGAGCCTATATACCCTTGGGAGAGAAGCTTAATTATTTCTTTTTTTCTAAGCTCTAGAATCTTCCGAATGTCCTGTGCAGGCGCAGGATAAACCCATTTGTGTGCATTCACAGAGACCACTACGAAGAACCTCAATAGTAATGTTTGTTGTTTTTATATGTCTTCAAGTCAGAACTGATTTACAAGAACTTTAACAGGCCTTTGAAGGTAAGTGAAACATTTAAGGAGTAGTTTTACCATTGCACGTCCCAATTAAGTTGCCACAGCTTAGCAGGGAGCCGAATGCAGGCCTTCTGAGTCCTATTACTCTATCCACTACTCCGCACTGGGTATCCCTCATAATAGTTTGCCAATAACTAAAAATATTATCAAATTTTGGTTAAGAGCTAGAAATACAAGAGTACAAAAGCAGCAAGGGTATGTCAGTGCTGATTTCTAAACCACATTTAATATTTTGGATAGCATCATGAATCTACACATGCTATCAATCAAATATTTTTGGAATTTCCTAAAGAATCAAATCTTTAAAAACACACAGAAACCACAAGAATGAACTAAACTCTAATGATGGGCGATGTGTTATGGATATGAGTCTCCAGATCCAATCTCAGGCATCTTCAGTTAATATATTTCAAAACAGCATGGGTAGAAGGTACTCTTAACTGGAGAATTAAAAACAAACATGTATAAACAGTACCAGGCCAGATAACTGATCTCTGTACTTATTCTACTGTTTTCCACATGAAAATCTGCAATCTACAATGCATTACTTATAAAAGGAAAACTCACTGTGGACAATCCCCTGTCTTGGAAATAAATACTGTATTCTTTTAACGTCAAGATATCTTTGAATATCTTATTTGACAGATTTTAAAAATAAAATCAATATCTTTTTTTCAAAGCTGGCTGTACTTTGTGCACCTTCAGAAAGTAAAGACTGCAAAAGGAAATCACTGCACTCATTTAAGACACTACATATGACTGACCTCCAATCGCTTGATGATCTCTCGTAAAGAAAGCATAGTTTCATTTCCTCCTATGAATGTAGTTGTAGGCAGCCGGAACACTTTATCCAAGTCTGATTCATCTAAGCCATAAAACTCTTGTGATGTATTGATATCAACAAGATAGGAAGAAAATTCAAAAATCAGAGATTATGTGTACACACATGCACACATTCATGTATGCAAACACACATTATATTTTGGATCCTGTCTAGAAAGAATACCTTTTAATCACAACACAAATACGGAAAAAGTATTATATATTTTGTATTGCCTGAGACTAAACAGTAAGTAAATACATTTCATATACATGCAGAGATATCTGTGATCCTGAGAACAAATTTGCCAAGACACAGAGGCATGTAAAAACACCATCTGATGACCAATTAAAATTTTACTCAGTTAAATAGACATGGCATGAATAAACATGGATTTCTGTGTTCTTGTCTTCTCATTTTCCTATTTCAGCCTACTTACCTTGCAGCATCCCTTCAAATCCATGCCACATTCTTGAAAATATTCTGTATACAAATTCCTTTTCTTCTCATGAGTATCAAAAAATGCCATTCTGGTAAAAAGCCACGTGTACAGGCTTCTTGTGCACAGACACAACAGTGTACCATAAATTAATACACAGAGTTAGAGGACTATCTCATTCAAGACTGGCCTACCTTACTTCAGGAAATAATACGTAGTGTTGCAATGTTCATCTAGCTATCTGTTACATTTAATCACGAGACACTCCCCTCACTGTGCATATTAATTTATTATAAAAAGAGTGGAAAATTCTCACCCAGTTTATCTATAGTGGTGATTAAATCCGAAGGAATGAATGAATCCAAGTCGGCATCCAAGATTCCTAAGGGATCCAACTGAGCCACATGGTGTCCACGGATCTGAATAGGTTGAAGTGTATAAGAAGGGAGGTAGGAAAGGCAAAGAAGAAAAAATAATGCTAGCAAAATCAAAGGGGAGAGAGCTCACCGATGCTTGTGGGATTACACAGTTCGTTTATGGAACGATCAAAAGAAACGTCATGAATCCCAAGAGGGTCAAGCTGAGCTTTGTAGTGCCCTATAACCTGAAAATAAGGAGTATAGTCATTTTAATCTTACAAGAACTGTCAAAATTGTGCATTTCCCACATATCTACTGAAATGTATTTTCATATTCAGTTTTAAGCAGATATTTTCTCTTTCTGACTGAAAGAGACTTTCGAGATTTTTTGTTATGGAGAAGCCTTTATTATGCAGTCTTGCTACTAGGGGGGATCTTCTGAAATTTTAGTTTCGATAATATTGTTTCACTACTACTTATGTTTTGTATTGCTAGTTTTATTTGTTAATAGCTTTGTGATCTTTGGGGAGCAGCAATTAATAAAAATATTTTTTTTCGTCGTTGTTTAGTCGTTTAGTCGTGTCCGACTCTTCGTGACCCCATGGACCAGAGCACGCCAGGCCCTCCTATCTTCTACTGCCTCCCGGAGTTGTGTCAAATTCATGTTGGTTGCTTCGCAGACACTGTCCAGCCATCTCATCCTTGGTCGTCCCCTTCTCCTCTTGCCATCACACTTTCCCAACATCAGGGTTTTTTCTAGGGAGTCTTTTCTTCTCATTAGATGGCCGAAGTACAGGAGCCTGTACTTTTAAATATGTTCAAACATACTTAAAATACAGCTTTCCCATTGCTCCAGGCTTGCTCCTACAATGTACAGATACAGGGGAGTCCTGGCCATGTTCTAGGTCATGTAGGGGTAATATGTGATCCTCTGGTTGTTGCCTGACTGCATCTTCCATTACCCCTCACCATTGGCTGTGCTGAATAGGGAGAACAATAATTTCCAGCCAAACAATCAATTTCCCCATATTCTGGGCCATGTTCTTCAGTTCACACAACCACAGTGAATTCTTAGAGATCTGACTACCTGAGTCCAGCAGGGAACCCTCACCCTGAACATTCTGCACATATATTCTGCAATTTACAGGGCCTCCTTAGCAGAACACTCCTTCAATTACAGTAGGACCCCTGTATCTGTAGGATCAATATCCATGTTTTCACTTATCTGCAGTTTGCCACAGACTTATATACAACATACAAAGGTGCCTCCTTGTGGCCTTCATTCATCCTGACCCCTTGCAGCTTTTGTCTTACCTTCCTGTATTTTGTATATAAGTTTCCCTTGTGGTTTCAGTCATCCATGGTAGACTGTGGAACCAATCCCACCCCAGATACAGGAGTCCTATTACTGTATATTTCTTCAAGGTTGCTATCCTGAAAATCACCATTATAATGAAGTTAATAGTCCCTTCCAGAAATATCTATTTATAATATTTTACTCTTCAGCTAGGCACCTCCCTAGAAGGTTATATATTCAATTAAAACAACATACTAGCGAAGAAAACAACATTCAAGCAGCAGGTTTTATTTAAAAGATACCACAAATGTGTAGTATTTTAGAATATAGTAATTTGCCCACCATACAACTTCTGGCTCTAAGTAAGATTCTTATTTCTTCAAATCATTTAGTATTGCTGTATCTCACAGTAGAGTTTAGAGCAGTATACTATGTAAAACCAGTATGAAAGAATAAGGCAGCCAATTCAATCTTAAAATAAATTAAAATAGCACTCAGGTAAAACATTGCATCATTTTAAGATGCTGGATAAATTAAGAAGGCAATCTTAAGGCTCCTCATAATGCTGTTAGCCTGAAGGGATGTGGTAAAGAGCATTCCCTGCCATGCCCTGAAAATGGAATGCCATTACCAGGGATGCTCCTGTCAATGGAAGCTTCGAAGAAGGGTATTTTGGTAGTTGGAGCATGGCTTGCATTCAATTCACTAATTGCCAGGGCCCTTACTAAAAGTAGCAAACACAAATTCCCGCCCATTGGTGTCAATGGGAGTTCAAAGAACTATTAAAATCAGACACAATTACCCCCATCTTCTTCCCTGACTAGAGTGAAGACTGCTTTGTAGGTATACAATGGGCAAAATCCTCTTGGTTATTTTTGCCAACAAGACAGTACCTTGTAGATCATCTTGACTGCTGACATTGGTGTGGTCAATATTAAGGCTGCCTTTGCTATATAAAGTTTTGTATTGTTTTTCCTGCCAGCAACAATATTGTACAGCAGTACTGGGCCATTTCGTGGCATGGGTACAGAAGCACAATATCCCACATTCATAAACCAGAGGGATATTTCTTAAATGAATTTAAGAATTTCTGTCTGAGATTGTATCGGATTTGACTTTTCTTCTCTCTTTTGTTTGTGTGTGTGTGTGTGTGTGTGTGTGTTTGAGGGCATGTTCAGAAGTTTGCTTTTTCATTTTCTATCAGCTTTTATCCTGACCAAGCAGAATGGACAAAAGAAAAATTATTGAAGCAAAGGAAACAATGATTCTTTATTTACTACAACATGTTGAACAATTTTCTGCTAATTCATCTTTTGAATAGATAAGACAGGGCAAGTCATTTGTTTTCGGCTCTGATATGTAACCACTTTTTTAAAAAGTATCTGCCTACCAAAACCTCTCCAATTAGTATACACAGTGACAAAAGATATATATGTGTTAAAAACAGTGTGTTACAGCAAGTTCTGCACCACACCGATCATACAGAGCTAGCAACAGAATATGATATATTCAACAGTTAGCAAACTGTTCAATTATTTTGAAGATATTTACTGAGAGGGACATATGTAAATCATTCAACTGGAAATATCTCGTTGTAACTGTTCCGTAAGATCAAAATGAATAAAGAATTTATTACGATAATTTGATCTAGCAGTATCAAAGGGATTCATACACCAAGAATATTTCATATGCATACAAAATGTGAATAAGCAATCATTCTATTGCAATTACACATTGCAATACTGAAGGAAGAAAAAACTAGTTTTTTGATTACATATTCATGGTGGTAAATCTGGATCCTAGGCTCTTTTTCATTAAAAGGGCCAAGAATTAAGGTCACAAAAGCATTTCATTAGAGCTGTCTCTCTCACAATAAGACCTTTAATCCATAATGAACATATTTGCGTTACACAAGTTTAAAATCCCTTTCCAAAAGTAAAATGTGGGAATTGCAATTATGTGAATGGGGACAACCTAACTTATCTCTCTTTACAAAACACTGTTATAAGGAAACATCTTGTGCAAACAACATGTAACTGCAATTCACTTGAACCTCACTTTGGGGAGAAAGAATATGAATTCTATGAAAAAAAATAAATAATGAATAAAAAATAAGTGCACTTACTTGATATGCTCTGATCAATGACTGCACAGCCAGGTGATCCTCAACCAGTTTTTCAGCTTTACCTGGTGACTGAGTCAGCCCATGGCTTTGGATAAGTGATGTTTTCCCATCTGAGATATCAGGTAAAGAAGTCTGAAAGGCTTGTCCAGGAAGAGCCCCAGCAGTAGCATTTCGGAAAAACAAATCCCAAGACTAGACAAAATGACAAAAAAAGGAGTGAGAGAGAAAAGAGGGCCACAATCAAGTTCAGCCAGCAACACAACAAAAGTAATAAATTCAGGCCCTTGTTTCCAATTCTTTTTACTATCCCACATCACCATCTTATTAATATAACACCTGGACAGTCTACCAAGACCCTTCTGAACTACTAAAGTTATTGCCTTCCTGTACAGGTAAAATATTCTGCTGGGGTTAGACTAGGATCAAATGTTCTGGCACTATATGCTTCCTTTCCCAATGCTCAACTTTTTAAATTCAAATTGCCTCTTCTCGTAATCATTGTGAGCAATACTACGAATATTAACCACTGCTAACACAATCCAACAGCATTAAGATCCAAAAGCTAAACCCCAAATGTCCCAGGATTAGTGTAAGCATTAAACTGTGTAAATGAAATTGAGGGAGAGGAGAGGGGCAGCATAATTCTAAGGCCTACTCATTACATTAATGAATGCAGCAGTTACAAAATTCTGTTCCTACTACAACTTACTGTTCTTCAGTCCACTATCCCTATCAAGCCTTTAAGCAGTTCCACTGTATTATCACAAATCACACATTAACAGTAAATACACTGGAGAAGAACATACAAAGGAGGATACCAACCTGGTATATGCACTAGTCTTCTTCTTAATGTTTGATGAACACACAAAGCATTTTTTTAGAATTTTAACACAGATCTTGTACCTCTTTCAACAGATGCAAAGTCAATGGCTTGAATCCAGACTAAGTTAGAAATACTTCTGTTTCAATAAAACCAATGGAAGGATTAATCATGACTAGAGACAGGCACGAATCAGAAAAATAGTGATCTGACAAACCAATGAATCGATGTCAATTTGTTTTTTTCCTCTTAACCCTATAAAACAGCCCCCCCCAAGCACTTAGAGACACCTAATTCACTGGGAAGCTTCCCTTGACCCACCTCTACAAACCCTGCAGATTTGGTGAAGTTTGGGTTTGGAATGTCAAAATTATACATCAACAAGTAGGGGCCCCCAGGAAAGTTCCCCCAAGGCACCTAGAGACACCAAAATAAAAGTAAAGTTTCCCCTGGCTCTCCCCTACAGTCTGTCCAGGTTTGGTAAAGATTAGGTTTCAGAAATAAAGTTTCCCCTGGCTCTCCTCTACAGTATGTCCAGGTTTGGTAAAGATTAGGTTTCAGACATCCAAGTTATACACCCACAGGTGAATCCCCACCCCGCAGGAAAGTGCCCTTTAGCAGATGGCTTGAGGAAACCCAATACTTGAAGATTCACTTAGGACAAAACCAAAAAGGGTGTTTGTTAACTAAAGATTTTTCCATATGGCTGAAAAATGTTCCCTCTTACCATCAAGATAATTACAGAGGCTGTATTTCAAGTGAAATCCAACTACAAAATAGTGTCAATGGAAACAAGGACCAAGACTTCAATCTGGTGGAACTTTTCTAGAGAAATGTGCTACCTACCGATCATCTGTGCTTATTTGTCAGAAGAAGAAAAATTAATTTCCTTTACAAATTTAATGAAATCTGGACTTGACTTGTTAAATGGTGATGTTTCTTTCCCTTCTTATATGTACATACAGTGGACCCTTGACTTACAGACAGCTTGACTTACAGACTTTTTGAGTTACAGACTTCTCTGGCCGCAAAATTTAGGTTTGACTTGCAGCCTGAGAATTGACTTACAGACCAGAAAAAAACCAAAATGGAACAAAAACGGCCTGTTACGGGATTAATTGGTTTTCAATGCACTGTAGGTCAATGGAGACTTGACCTACAGACTTTTTGACTTGAGAACCGCCGTCCAATACGGATTAAGGTCTCAAGTCAAGACCCCACTGTATTGTTTAAATAGATTCATGTAGATTCTTTGTTAATTCATAGTGCTATACAGTATTCTTAAAATCTATGCCATATTTTAAAATAATGGATTAACTGCATAGAGAAATATGCACAGTTCTTGATAGGTGGCAAACAGAACTGGTAGTAAGCAAATACATACTGATTTGACTTTTAAAATGACTCAGCTTTATGAGTTGATAAACAGAGATGGGGGTATTTGTATTCAAATATCCCCCCACAGGTGGAGATAACTGTCCACTCATGGTTACGCCGCTGCCACCGGCTGCACAGAGCCTTCCTATCGCTCTGGAGCTTGCAATGAATTAGCCACTCTGCGACCTGGCAGAGAGGCTCGTCATCCCGCCTTCTGCCAGGATTGGCTAATCCATCATGAGCAATGAAGCAATAGGAAGGCACCGTGGAGCTCACGGCAGCGGCAGAATCATGAGTGGTCTGGCCTCAGGGGGCCAAACCCTTGTTATCTGCACCTGTGGGCGGATAGTCATATTCATATACGAATACCCCAATCTCTATTTATAAATCCTCAGGGCGAAAAGGTAGACATTTCAGAATACTCAGCAAAGCAAAAGACATCTATCAATGCCACTATGAAGCATATCAATACAAAGATAAAACCTGTTTTCTACAACTCTCATCTGCTTCTCACTAACAAAAAATACTGTTAGAAAGAATAACACTTTTTCAATTATTTGTAAGTTCTCAAAGATGTGTCAAAATCAGCTGAATCAACAGGAAAACTGGCATAACCCCAAATTTAATGGTGCCCTGATACCAGTCACACCAGTAGCCGGGTGACTCATGGCCACAGTAGAGGAAAGTTTACTCCAAAATTTTCAGGCAAGGCACTTCCACCAGCAGTCTGATGGGAGGCAATCTATACTAGCAGTGACATCATTTTTCTCACTTTTTTTAAAGAAATAGGGCAGAATATGAGAAAGGCAGAGAGAGAAATGAGAAATAAAACAGTGTCAGAATGAGAAAGTGAAAAGAGAAAGAGAGAAAAGAATGTAATTGATTAACCTATTATTTCTGGTACTAAACCCAGTTGACCGAATGTTTATCCATTCAGAAGAAAAAAGGGGCCATTAAAAATAGAATGTTTTTAACTTAATAACTTTAGTTAATAAGCTAAAAGAAAACAAATATTTAAAACCCAAAACAGCCTCCCTAAACTCTGTTAGCACTACTTATGGACACAAGTAGCTCACAAATAAATTAGAGGACTTTCCCTCCCAACCAATTGTTGTGGTACATATACATACATTAGTATGCCCAATCCCCCAAAAAACAACAATTAAGTTTATTGAATAACTTCTGGTTATGAACTGTTCCCTGCTTCTTGGATTCATACCTTAATGTAATGACGGGTTTTTAATGAGTCAGGGTAGCTCAGAGCAATGCTATCAGTAGGCTACTACAGTCAGGGTGAAGAGGAATGATATACCACATAAAGAGGCAGAGAGTGGAAGGATCCTGCTGTGAGCCTCAAGTGAGGAAGTCCAGAGAGTGTAAGAGACAGAAACTTGGAGAGGTGAACTAGATGGGTGAATGAAGGCTGTCATGGAGACCAAGGTATTGTGACAATATAATGTGCACTGTTGTCTCATGGCTTGATGTGTGCTCTGGTGATGAGTGGTATGGGAGGAGAGGGGGTCAGTCTGCATGACTGTTCAGAGGGGTTTCAGCAAAGAAGAATCTACATAAAGTAACAGCTGTATCCTGGAATATGAATTACAATTAGGTGAACTTTGCAGGCAAACTACCAGTGCCAGAGTTGGAGTGTAAGATTAGAAGCAAGCTGGAGTCTTATCTCCTTTCCCTTTCCAGTTCTTGTATTTTGGCTGGCTCTGTTCTGTGGGCTTGCCTACAAAATGGCCGCCACTTGCCTGCTGGTTCTTGAAGTAACCTTTGTGATCCTTTTTACTGTCCTCCCAGGTTTTTCTCCCAACTTTTACCTCAGAAAAATTTGGGTTTTGAATGTGTGAAATAAAATGTGTGACTCCTCCCGCTTCCTGAACATCTTTGGGCTTTTTATCTCTCACTAGGTACCTCAGGTCTCCCGGTAGAAGTGAACAGAACTTCTGTAGCCCCATGATCTTAATATCTTGCACAGTTTCAACTCCTTCCTGCTGAAGCCATTTATTTATTTATTTATTTATTTATATCCCGCCTTATCGAGATGTTTGATCAAGTTTGCCCCCAATTAAGAGTAGGATTCTTCAGGGTTGTTGTTGTTTTTTTGTCAGTGCCCTGAACTTTCGTCCCAAATGCTCAGCACTGATGCCAAACCGTGAGAATACCAACTTTTTTAATTCTTCAAAATCGCTCACTAAATCCAATGGCATCTGGGTGTATATATCCACTAACTCACCACTTATCTGGGACCTCATTACAATCATATGTTATGATCCCCTCACTTCAAAATCTTCACACACATGCTCGAACAGAATCATGGAAGATTCAGGATCATCTCCTTTTCTAAATACAGGGAATCTTTTAAGGTCTGCCTTGGACAGATGTCTCTCTTCAGAATTAGACTGGCTATTATTGTTGTTGTTGTTGTTGTTGTTGTTGTTGTTGTTCCTACTACTACTACTACTACTACTACTACTACTACTACTACTACTACTACTACTACTACTCTGGGATGTCAGCTCCAACCTCCTTAGCTTTCCTTTTCCAGGGCTATCTTTTCCAATTCTATCTCCCGTTGTCTTTCCTCAGCCCAAGCCTGAATTTCTAGCTGTTTTTCCTCAGCTCTAGCCTTAATTTCTAGTTGTCTTCCCCCCTTGAGGTCTCCATTTCCCCCTCTGAGGCAATCCCTTTTTGAGTTTCTTCCCTCTCCTGATCTGAGTCATCTGCACCCTCAAGAGGCAACTATGCCGCCTTTTTCCCCCGCATGGAAGGCATGTTTAGTTATTTAGGCTTCTGCTTCAATTTACAAGCCTCAAATTTAAAAGGTACACTTTTTTCTCTCTCCTTTTTTTGTGAGTTAAAGTCTGAGCAATATAGTTGCTTCCCCTGCCAATATTCACTGGGAAGATACTGTGTTGAGACCTCTGGCTCCCAGCCAGGCCTTTTTCCTGAGACAAAGTTTCTCACTGCCTCTAGGCACCAAATAAACAGA